AGGTGTCAATGACATTTTAGCGAGGACAGAGTTCTTGCAGTTTATAGCCTACAAGGGCTAATCCTTGATAATCTTGTCCTTGTTAATGGATATCATCCCTATTAAAATGTCTTTACTCCCACCTCTAACCATTTATCTCATTCTATTTATTACGTCGAGCATTAGCCACTAATCTTTCGTTCCAACCTGAAGCTGCGACGATTTGAAATTGAGCGATTGCACTTAATAGCCTAAGGATGTGCACATAATTACTCCTATTGATTTCACTTCTCTTGGCGTACAGTGCGACAGTTACTTTATGATGAAGATAGCTCTGAAGCCATTCAGTTGTTCATCAACAAATAAGCGCGCATTCATCTTGCAAAGTGCATCTTTGACGTGCTAAACCTAGATGAGTTGGATGCAATTTGATGGCAAGGAACATTAAAATTTGCAGGATCATCATAGGTGCGTAGCGTGAAACTTTATCAAAACGACTAGTCACTGCTCTAGTGGATCGCAGCTCCTTTTTGCATTAGAAGTAGAAGTCTGTTCCCATTCAAGATTTAACAAAATAGACCTACCAGGCTGGTTTTTTAGATTATTCTTGCGATATATAACGAAGTCAAGTACAGTGAAAGTTTTGGGCAGAACTTTTTTTTTGTAATTTAGCGTCACTAGAAATCAAATCTGAAGGCGGGTCGTTTAGGCTTTGAACAGATTCTTCCGAGGATCAATTAGGAGCAAATAGTGTTATCAGACGGTACTTAATATCAAAATTTAGGTCCAACACCATTACCAATCATTGGTAATCTCTTCACTCTTTACTTCTATGAGCCTGGCTATGAAGCATTTCGTATTTGGTCACGACAGTATGGACGCTGTTTCACATTTTGGATGTTGAATAGGCCCACAGTTGTAGTGACGAATTATGAGCTTATAAAAGAGACTCTGGTCAAAAATGGAGCTGCATACACGGGCAGAATGGAAGTACCTCATTCTCGCGCATCGAGAGGTGCCTAAGTAGCTTTGAATTCTTCGTACAGTTATTGTAACTTCAGCTTTGAGGTGGCGACTACGGCGTAACGGAGACAACAGGAGAGCTATGGCAACAACAGCGAAGGTTTATGTTACATGTGTTTCGTGAATTTGGTATGGGAAAGAATCTCATGGAAGAAAGAGTAAGCGCATTTTGGTACTGATTTGGATAAGTGTGGCAAGAAAAAAAATCAGGTGCTACTCGAAGTGACCGATCTGCTGGAGAAATGCAAAAAGGATGCCAATAAAAAGCTGGATCTTCGTCATCATTTTCACGCCGCCGTTGGGTCAGTTATTAACAGCATCCTATTCGGATATCGCTTCGACGAGGTAGAAATCTTAGAGGTTACCTTTCTGTAACCAGAATACAATTTCCTTAATTTGCAGACCAATATGTCGGATTTTCTACATCTGAAGGGAACGTTAGACCGAATCATGGAAATTTACGCTCGGCCAGAGTTCATAAT